TTTGGGTCAGTTGGTAGTCGATTAATCTTCTTTTGTTAAAAATAAAAGAAAATACAACTCCGTACATCCAAGTTATAAATATCATTTGGTTAAAAAACTCCATATTTGAGTTTACAAAGACAAAGTCGAAAATATAGCTAATACACATTCATCAATAAAAATATTTGGAATAACAACAGCTAGGATGAAAATCAGTCCATCTACTGAAATACATACAATGTTTGTGATTCTTTTTTTATGATATTAATATACCAACATGACACATTTCTAGATTTGCTGAAAACAAAAACACTTTGTTTGTCTGCCCATTCATTAAATCCAACTTAATCAGTTTTGAACAATAGAGTGTGTTCAATTATATTACAATTGTCCACAAATATCAAATAATTATTCAATACATTTTTATAGATAGTTTGAATTCTTTTCATTTTTTTCAAACTTGGCTTGGATTACATCATAACCATCAAACTTTTTACATATTTGATTATTCTCTTATTTATCATTTCAAACTTATAGTCAAAAGACTGAAAATAATAATCAATAAATGTTGGAATTAAAGTGACTTCCCCAAGGCGTGCAAGTTAAAATTATTAGTCTTTTTTACAGGGAAAGGGCGTGCAAGACTAAATTTTAGTTGAAAAACATTTTATTAAAAAAATGTTATTCGTTTCCTAATTGTTTCAAAAAACACACAACCCTTTGGTGCTTGAATTAATAAACTACAAAAAGCAAATTAAATAATAAAAATTGGGTTATGGTTTGTCTATGTGTTTAATGTAAAAACTGTTTTGTTTCAAGAACGTGAATAAATGTCGATGTCTCTTGTGTCAGCGTAATTCAAAGCGACAAGAAAAGGCATGATAAACATTATGTTTTTCTCTGTGTTGTTTTATAGCAAACAATAACAAATAGTCTGTTTAATAGGTGCAGTTCATTGTTACAAATCGATGTGTACTGTTGTCCAGAACTGGTCCTTCGATAATTTCCATTGGGTCGCTTTCCCGAAATTGTTGCTTAATTAATTGTATTCGAAGTGTGAAAGTTAAAAATTGCAACGTCACAAGGTGTGCAAGTTAAAGTATAGTTTAGTAATAACTTCGAAATTATAATTAATAATTAAACTAAAAATAATCTTTTTTTTCAAAATTTCAAAAAATTAATGGTTCTATTTTTTTAATAAAAAAATTATAAATGAACTATACCTTAACTTGCACACCTTTAAACTAACTTGCACACCTTGGGAAGTCACTTTACATTTAATTTAAGTTGATCACTAAGATCAAACAAAGCGCAATTGTAATATCCATTGTTTTGTTGATTTTACACGGATGAACGGATTCTAAGACTTGTTGTTTCAAATGTGTCACAACTGCTTTATTAGTAATACTAAATATAATGCCAAATGTTTTGTTTTTGAATTATAATGAATCTTTAAATATTGCATTTGTTCCACTACGCTTTCTTTTCTTTTAAATTATTCGTCTGCTGAAAATATTGGAAATGGTCTGAAGTGCTTGAATATAAAAGGCACGTGTCACGTCTCCATCTTTATACAACTTCACCCCATTCAATTTAATTTGCTGTATTGTTATCACTTATTTTCTTTGGGTTTGTTGTTTGGGGATTTGAAAAGTTTAACAACTTGGCCAGCCTCGACAATATTTTTGATTATTTTGAGGAAATTTCCTCGTTTTTCAAATTGCATTTTGTTTCTATTTTTCCGATTTTTTAAAATATTGAAATTATTTTTTAATGGAAATTTCTGAAAATTTATTGGTTTTTTTGTTAAATCAGATAGAAAAAAAATAAACTCAATTAATAGTTTTGAGTGGCTAATGTTCAGTTGTCTACTAATCTTGAATAGACAATCTGTTTTTTAAGCTTTTAAGTTAATTAAATTTAGACATTATTATGTACAGATGTGGTACTAAGGTTTTGACAAGAAACATAGTTTCGATTAATAATTTATAATTTTTATACCATTGTAAAAACTAAAAATGAAAAAATATATTTGAACCATTTTTTAAAAGAAGTAATGAAACTTATTGATTATTATTCAAATAGTATTAAATAGTAAGTCTAAACTTTGATACCACATCAGTAAACAAAAAAATAAAAAAACATGTTCTATTAATTTTCATATTTATAAAACTAAACAATCATTTTATTTAGTAACAAAATTAAAATTATTAAAACATAATTAAATAATAAAATATATTAGTGTTAATAATTTTAAATAAAAATATGATGATACAAATAAAATTTGTTGAATTTAATAACTGTTTTCTTTATTTTTGTAGTTTTACTTTCGAGAGTGTTTAAATTAAATTATTATAAATTGATACACAAATCATGTTATTTCGCTTTAAGTATTTGGTTAAAACATTGAAAAAAATGAAAACTGTAACAAAAAAACGCGTTTTTCATCATAATATTATAACTCCCAAAAATGCTTTCTATTTTTTAATCATATAAATGTCCATATTTATTACCGAGTATTCAATAATAATAATGAATTAATACATATTTGGGCAAGACTATTTTATAAAAAACATTAAAATGAAAAATGATGGTATACATTATTTTCTGTACAATATATATATAACTTGTTTATTAAAGCAAATGATACAATAAATCATTTTTTTTTTCAAAAACAATACTAAAAACAATGTATTTACCCCCTTTAAATTACCATGTAATGAAAAGTAAGAAATATAACAAATTATTTACCCCCATCTATCCTTTCCTTTATTCATTTTCTCTGCTTTCCTTTTCTATTTGCATGTCATCCTCTTTACACTCCATGTATTGTAATGCGAAGTAATTCACTGAATCAAAAGGGACTTCATACGTTTGGGTACTCACAAAGTCTCTTGTTTCTTTGTTCTCGGTTATTGGGTTTGGAGTTTCGCAGTGGATGCTGTCAAGTGTATTAATCTCTTCAACTTTTTGAAAGAAAAGTGCCGTCTCTTTTCCCCAATCAACTTTCAACCCCCTGAACGTGTGAAAATCAAAAACTATTCCACATGAACCACTCCGGAGGTGTTGTACAACTTCAAAAAGTATTTCCTTTCCAATTTCATAGATAAGGTCGTTTGTAATGATATAATCCTTATCCAGTGTAAACGAAGTGATTTTTTTGAATTTGGGTCGGTTCTGGCTTGTTTGTCTCAATTTTGTTTTGAGTTGGACGCCAAACCTCTCAATGATTTCAACGAAACATTCCATCGAGAGTGCCGTAAATATTTCTTTATCCCTCTTCCCATTTTTAGTGCATTTGTCTTCAAACGATTGGTCGTCTTGAAAAAGCTCTCCAATTCCGCCTTCTATCTTTTTCACTTGGACATATGGCAGAGCTTTACTCCCCTTTTTCGGCTTTGAAAAGTGAATTGTATTTCCAAAACGACTGATCAAAACTAAGACTATCATTTCCTGGCTCCCCCTTCTTTCTATCCTTTTGTTTGCGTTCTGTTGGGTTTTACACTCTTTCACTCGTGGTTGGTGGATATTCGGTTCCATGGAAATATTAGTATTATTGACATTAAAAGTTCTCCTCATTTCCATGTTGATATCTTTTATTTGGATGCCAAAAATAACTTCAGTCACAACTGTCTTACTTTAGTGTGCATAGCGCCATACACGCAATTGGTTATCATCTCCACCACTCATCAAAATGTTTCTATCGATGAATCGAACTGCATTCACATCATTGTCATGAGCTTGTTGTTGTTCTGCAATGAGTATAAGCTTCTTCGTCTGTTCATTCTAAATGTTACTATTGCATTATAGTTAATTTATTACAATTAAATCATTAAAACAATAAAATAAACATTCTATTTTTATTTGAGAGTTTCATTATTTCTATTTATAAAAAGGTATTTTAATTAGTAATTCGTAGGAAATAGGAAATAACTATACATTATAGTTTTGGTATTAAAATAGAAATTAGACAAAAAAGGTATACAAACTATTTTGTAGAGTCGAACGCCATTGTCTCCACACCCAACTGCAACTTTCCCATCGATGATGTCGACACTATAGACATCTCGGAATGACTCGTTGTCAATTTTGTCGACCAATTCGAGCTTTTCTGAGACATAATCGAATAAGATGATACGACCTTTAGCACAAACAGCGACAACGAAAGTCTTATATGGCTTGATATCCCATATTGTTATAGAGTCATTGTTGTATATCTGAGACTCTTCCCACTCAGTCTCTTCACTGCACTTCCACACACGAATTGTCCCATCAAAAGAACCACTAAACAGTGTTGTTCCGTTGTGGTAAAAAGCTACACATTTGACATCACCGGTGTGTCCAGTTAAGACACTCGCACACTCAAAATCACTTCCAGTGTAACTCTTCCACAACCACACGGATTTGTCACGAGAACACGTCGCAAGTAATGACCCGCTCTTATTCCAATCAGCACATTTTACTTCCGACTCGTGGCCCTCTAATGTGGCTAGTGTTTTCAAAGACTCGTCCTCCCACAAACTGATCGTCGCGTCAAAGCTACAACACGCGAGAGTGCCATTTTGGTTGCAACGGAGTTTGCGGATGGTACGTGTGTGTGGTGTTAACAGAGGTTTCTGAAGAGTAAGTTTTGAATCCTTCAGTTCATATATTTGTACCTACTCATGAATCATTGTCGTGTCAAATAAGATGATACACCAGTAACAAACATAAGGCGTTGTTGAACTTGTATATATTCGGTTTGATTTTGGACTGTATTCAATGCTCCAAATGTGGTTTTCCTCTGTTTGTGAATAAAATGTGGAAAGTAAATAAATTAATAAAAAATACTAACCTTCAATGTGTTGAAGTAATTCCATGGTATATGAAGTTCTTTTATTTTTTCTTTGAGATTATTTGTGAATAAAAATTCTGGTCATATTGTTCCATTTTTTATATAGTAAAATATTATAAAAATTATATTAGTCGTTTTTGTATGATTTATTAATAGTATATATATTAATACTTTGTTATACAAAATATATATAATTTAAAAATACTATAATGTTTAATATCATTTATTTACTATTTGAATGTAATATATTTATTAATATTTATATAAAATGATTATAAATGATCTTATTATTATTCTTTTAATCTAGAAAAGAAAGCTTATTTACTAATAATTGTAGTTATTTTATTAAAATCACGAACTTCAAGTTATTGAGGATACTATATTTTATGATTTAAACAAAAAGTTAATTTTCATCTGTATTTTACGTTCAAATATCAACGACCTTGAGATAAAAATAATATTTTCAAAAATTAGGATCCAATAATATCAAACTACAAGTGACCAAAATAGTGTTACCATACACCCATCATATACCATACTCAATAGTAAAGTAAATTAACAAAAGAAGCTTTCATTTTGCTTGAAACGCATCTCAGAACCATCGCAGTATAACAAGATCGCCTCAAAATGAAAAAAAAGAAATCCGAAAAAAAGGAAAAATGAAAAAAGAGAGAATTGCGGAATAAAAACCGATAAAAAGGAGGAAATATTCGTAATAAAAAACGACAAAAGTGGATCTGAGAAACACACCACAACTACCAAAAATACCCCCTTAAACAAATAAGAAAAAAGATAAGATCTGATAATCGAGTTAATGTCAACTACAAGTGGTAACACCCCACGTACTGAAGAAAAGGATATCTTCCAACGAAAGGAACAGCGTTGGATTGAAGTCCAACGAATGGCCTTTATGTCATTCATGAACGATACATTAAAACGATGTCCTGATGTCAAACCCGTCACCAATTTTGAAACGGATCTTAAAAATGGTGTTACAATGTTCCGATTTACCCAAGCCTTGACTGGAAAAGGCAACGCAATTAAATATGACAAGAACCCAACGATACAAATGCACATGTTGGAGAACCTGAACTTCGCTCTTGAAATTTTAAAGTCACAAGTCTCAAATATCACGTGCGACGTTCAAGACATTTATAATATTGATATACGTGGTGATAAAATGTTATTGGGTCTCCTCTATTTACTCTTCAAGAAATATAGAATGGCGGTCGCTAAGATTGTTGATCAAAGCGGTCGTACGTTGAGTGAAGAAGATGCAATGCTTGCTTGGGCGCGAGAAACAACTAAAGATTACTCGGGAATCAAACTTGATAAATATATCCCGGGATTCAACGACGGGAAAGGCTTTTTGGCATTGTGCCACGCATACACCAAACTCACTGGTGAAAACACATTTGATTATGAGGAAATTAGCAAACAGTCTCCCGAAGAAGTCCTCGCCTATGCTTATGAATTTGCGAATACTAAAATGGGGATAGACAAACTGTTACTTGTAGATGAAGTTGCTTCGGGAACGATTAAACCGTCATCCCTTGCGGTGTACGTGTCATCCTTCCATCATGCGTTTGAGACATTTATAGAACTCCAGAAGTTGAAAAACCAACTTGGGAACGCATCGGGCGAATTGAAACATCAGCAACGAAACAAAGAAGACTTGATCAATATGAATCTTGAATTAACAAAGGAAATTGATGAGCTGAAAAAGAAGAAAGAAGAGCTTGATGTGGATATCACTAGTCTTGACAAAGAAATAGACGAGATTAAGACATCAAACAAAGAGAAGGAAGAGCTGATCAAAGACCTTGACGAAAAGATCCAAGCGGACCAGGCAAGTATCAAACAGTTTGAAGAAAAGATCAATGAATTCAACGGGAAGAATTCAGAGTTGGAAAGGACTTTGAAAGAACAGGAAGCGTGGCACAAAGAAGGTGATGAGAAAAAGATGCACTTAACAAATGAACTGAATGCGCTTCAAAGCGAGCTGAAGAGCCTCGAAGAGGAATTGAAACTCCAGGAAGAAATGAAAAATGGGAAGGACATCACATCGAAGTGCGAAGAACAGTCTAAAAAGAATAGAGTTCTTGAACAAGAACTTTCGTACCTTGAAGAATCAAAACTCGAACATTTGACTGCGACTAAGAACTCTGCGGAGAAATTGGAAAAGACTGAAAACGAGAAGAAAGACGTTGAAGGGCAATTGTCGAATCTTTCTAAGACTGCCGATGAGTATACAGGCGCATTGGCTATTCTTAAAAAGCAGATTGAATTGCACACTGAAGATTTGGCGAGATGGTCTGAGATGTTGGAAGGGAACTCTTCTGTTGGTGATGTTGAAAGTGTCATTGCCAAAGTTGAAGCTGAAAATGAATCGAAGACGTCCGAGGAAAGAGTCAAAGCATATCTCGAAGTACTCAAAAAGGAAGAAGAAAACATCGAAAAACTTTACAAGACCAAAGTCGACGAAGCAAAGGCGGGAGGAGAACAAGCGCAGAAAAAGAAACCAATCACAAAAAAGCCTGCCGTTAAGAAGTAAGTAACTTTAAACCATTTCCTCTTTTATTCAATTCAATTTTTTTTGAAGAAGAATAGAAATTTCAATTGAAATATAAGACTCACATACATACAGATTTACTCGTCTTCGACTAGTTGCATCTTTACGACATTCCATAAATCACCAAAGACTACTACACTCCCGTCAACTAAATCCATTTTCACAATTGTTTTGTCTTGGAAAGTAATGTCAATATCACTCGCAGGTTCCACACCTATGAGTAACGAAAAGGTGATCGACTCTTCTTCACAACACTTCACCCCAGCGGTCGATTCCACGTCATATTTATACACTAATTTGCATACCACGTTCTCTTTGAGTTGGTCAAATTGAATGCCAAGGTCGGTCAATATCTGCTTCGTCTTTTCGATCAACGATAGAATTTGGAAGTCGACTGTAATTTGCCGAGACGACGACGCGTCTGTTAAAGCAAGGCCTTGGATCTCTCTGGGAACGCTTCCGGAGCGTGGGGTCTCGAGAGGGGAGATCTCCTTATATCCTATTGGGGAACAGGCCATTTTCCGTTTCACAAGCTCACTGAACGCGGGAGAAAAGTTTTGGCTTGATCCGGAAAGGTTTGGGGAAACAGCAAACATTGTGTTTGTCGTACTGATCGTCCTTGTCCTGTTTCTATTTGTGAATTGGCTTGAGTATCCATTCAAAGGATTTTGGGTGTGTTCGACAATCGATCTGTAAAACGCACGTATGGTGTTTGGTTTGGGGTCAAACAGAGCTTCTCGTATTAAAGAGATGTGGAGTGGTGCCAATAAATAGGCCAACATCTGCATTATCTTCATATCATATTCATGCACTGGCCCCCCTGCTATCGCTTCGATATCGTCGATTTTTGGAGAAGTGTTTCCTTGAAGAGATTCTCTGAGGCTCAAACAGCTGTCTCCATTCAAAGAAAGGAAGTTTTCTTCTGGTGTTTCTTGTAAGTCTCTGAGTTGTGTAATTGGGTGGATAGCCTTAGGATTGACTTCATTGAAAGGTTCAGCCAACAAAGAAGCTTGTCGGAGTGTCATTCTTTCTTCTGGGTTTCCATTTATTAGACCTTTTAAGATAGTCTTGATGGCGTCTGGTATTTCATTTTGAATGGCAAATGACTTCTTCTTTATGTTCTCAACAATTTCAAGTTCGGTGTCTCCAGGAAATGGCATTGTCCCGAACAATAGCGCATAAAATAAGACCCCAAGGGACCACACATCTGCGACGCATCCATCATAACTCTCTTCTAAAAAGAGTTCGGGAGCCGCATAGAAATATGACCCACAAGAATCTTTCAGTTTTTGTCCACCAGTGTACGTCGCCATACCAAAGTCGCACAGTTTTGCTGTATGTAAATCGCTTGAGAGTAATACATTTTCTAATTTGACGTCACGATGACATATCTGCCACCGGTGGATGTATTCTAACGCAGAAACTATTTGGAGGAAGAATTTCACAGACTCCGAGACAGACAACTTACCCTTTTTATCGACATATGTATATAACTCTCCACCACTTAATAACTCTTGAACTACATATAGTAGTTTTGAAGTCTCGTATGATGCATAGTAATTTATTATATGGGGGTGGTGAAGTATGCGAAGTATCGCGAGCTCTTGATCTATCTTCCGCTTTTTGTCGACTTGTTTACATATCTCCGTCTTGTTAATTATTTTTATTGCGACTTTAACGTTCGACTCCTCATGGAATGAGAGAAAAACACGTCCAGTCGCTCCCTCCCCTAACAATTTATTTCCAATCAAAAACGGTCCGACTTTGTGTGTTTGTGCCATTATAATTACTTCTAATAGTTCATCATCGTTTTTTTTAATGAAATGTGGCATAACATAACTTTTTGTTGTAAAGAAAAAATGTTAATTTTAATTAATTGTAATTTTTATGATTAAAATTTTTGTATTTTTTTATTAGAATTATTATTTTGTGAATATTGTAACTATTTAAATATTATAAAATATAAAAAGTTTGTTAACTAAAAAAAACTTTTTGGCTAAAAAAGTTTTTCTCACTTTGTTTTTTGTTTAATTAATTTATAGACTTTTATAATAAATAATTATTCTACTTAAATAAAATATTACTAATAAACTAATTAAAGTTATTTAAAATTTACTATACAATCAGTCTATTTTTTAACATTAATTTAAAAAATATAACTAAAGAATGGGGAGAAAGCCACACCACATTTTTTCACAT